AGGCAGTCATTGACTGTAAAGGATTTGCAACCAAGTATTAAAACTGACTGTTTAATTGATGATTATGTTAGTTTGTCCAAATACTTATAAGCCCTTAAAATTGGGGGACTGTGTGAAGAAATGGTTGTCATTCCTACACGGTTCATACTACATTTTTGAATAAAGCCTTAAATGAAAGCTGAGAGTCTGCACTTTAAGCAGGTATTCATTGTTTCATTTAAAACCCATTGTGGTGGTGTACAGAGCCAAAATGACGACAACTGTATCATTGTCCAAATAATTATGGACCTGACTGTATGTAATACAGTTCATATAATCCTCAGAATAACATAATGACATGTTCCCCTTGTTTAGGTTCAGTCTTTACAATCTGAGCTGCAGTTTAAAGAAGCAGAGATCAATGAGATCAAGACCAAACTGCACAGCTCAGACAAAAACAAGACGGCCTCTCCACTGCCAAGACACAGGTCAGTTATCATCAACAGCAGACGATAGATTTAAATGCTCTATGTTTTATATCAATGTAAACTGGATGTCTTTTTGGACTGTTGTTTGGACAAATCAAGACATTTAAAGGGGACCTGTTGAACTAGAAGAGTGTATGGAGTTGAGATAAGTAAAATGAGACCTAAAGGAAATATTTCATCAGGAGGTCAAAGGTTACACTGTAGAGGAGCAGCTGCAGCTGTACGACTCACCAGTTTTGGTTTTAAACTGAGTCAGAGTGATCGATTATCATCTGTTTTTTTCTTTCTCTCTCCTCTCAGTCCTAAAGTGCTGAGCTCTCTGGCCCAGCTGCATCATGGGACCGGTAGCAGCTCCTCCTCTCCAACAGGAAATGGGTTCATCACCAAGGAGTCATTTGGAGCTCCAGGCCCGTCCAGAACAACACCAGTGAAGACACGGAGAGACAGTGGGTCACATGATAAAGGTGATAATAGTGAAACAGTTGTGTTGAGGAGAAGCAGATTTTGACATGTGCTTGTATTGGTGTGTTCCAGCAGACAGAGGGACATCCAGCAGCAGATCTGGCGACAAACAGGACACGTCTCGCCCGGACCCTTTCCTGTCTGTCAGACCTGCGCACCTAAGGCACCGAGGTCAGTCACTTCGCAGTGCTGCTTCATACTAAACAACCTGCAACACAGTTTGAGTAAAATCTCTTTGGTAGCTCCCCTTCCTCTCATTTACTTACGCTCAGGTCAGACCAAAGAGAGAAAAGTTGCAGCTGTGTGAGTGACCATAGGTGTTGACTTCCTCCCTCAGTCCTCCGAGTGTCAAACTCACCAAGTTCACTTCAGGTTTTCAGTCAAATGGAACAACACTTATGATGGCAGCTGGGATTTCCCTGAGGGGAAGTGCCAAGGCAAATGAAACACAACCTTGAAGTTTGAAAGATGAGGGCATTTACCAGACAAGGAGGGTCTAATCAAAGACACTATCCAGTTGCATTATGGGAAATGTAGGATCTTGGTCCATATAAGAGACTGGAAGTCAGATAATGCCATCTGCTGGACACATTTTGACCATTCGTTTATTAATTAATGAAGACGTCTGTGTGTGTTCTGTGGTGTTCTCCAGGTGGAGTCCTTCTCGGGTTGTTGCTGCAGCAGCCTTTGTCTCCCAGCAGCCTTGGCCTGTCTCACTTGCTGTCCATGAGTCTGACTGATATCCACCTGACATCCAGGTAAATGCCCTCATCTGTAGCCATGGCAACGTGGTCACTAAGGGAGTGTAGTATGTATAACAACACAGCACTGTAGTAGTCAGAGGGAAGGAGTTTGCAGCAGTGACTTGAGAGAGAAACAGATTTTGGTTCAGATATCTGGTGTGCCAGATATCTGGTGTGCCAGAATAAAGTTTGATCAAGGAGTGCAAAGTATGTAACCTCCCCCAGCCACATCAGTGAAGCAATTCATGCTCATTAAAAGTCACCCTGGTTTAATAAATTCAAGGAATAAACACATCATTTTGTGTGATTAGATCAGCATCATCGAGTTTGTTTCTAAAGCCAACGCACCAGACGTCCTTTGGAAATCTTGCATTTAAGTCCACCTCACTCACTTGCAAAAAACATACATGTTATTATGTTATGATCACTTAAACATCTACTGTATCTTCAGTGTTGCTTTGAAGTCACTAAATGCAACCAACTCACCTCGTCAGCAAATTCACCAAAACACAAATCGTAGGAAAATTTTTATTTTACTTTTAATTAGATCTCATCTGAGATTTAATTTTCAACCTTCATGACACTATTTTGACTTCAGTAGTTGGATCAACAGTAGTAGGAGTCATGATTGTAGTACCATCAGTAGGTCACATTGCAGAAGAAACACAAAGGAGCTGAATTGTTATAAAGACTAACTGATGTGTTGTTTTGTTTTTTTTTGTTGCATGTTGTGATTTCAGCGAGCTGTCTACAAATTTTCTGTTGGACTGTGATGCTGCAGCCAGCGTCAGTGGCAGTGGAGGCGGAGCTCCCAGAACAGCTCTGAGTTCGGTCCAGAGTCTGGCTATAACCGGACTCAACATGCTGAGTCAGAGCCGACCGGCATCTTCAGCCAGCAGCAGAAACATAAGGTAGACTGACTGAGATACTTCAGCTGCTATGCTGAAACCTAACTGACTGATATCTTCTGCGCTCTGAAAAATCCTGAGCAACAAAACACTATTAAAGCTGAACAGTTCTTTAGACAATAGAGCCCTCTGGTGGCCAAAAGATGTATCAGCAGCACTGAAATGGCCACATAGCAAAACACCATCACAAGGACATGTTAATGTAGATTTAAAAAAGTATTACCCTGCACATTTAACCCATCAGGTCTGCAAATCACTGAGAATTACTGATTCATCATATTTCAAATACTTTTTAACACAGAAGTAACACAGAGTGTGCTGGACAGGCCAAAGATACCACAAGTTAATTTGCATTTTTATAGAGTACATTTTTAACCATTTAAGAAAAAGAAGGCAACACATCCATTAACAACAGTTTTATCAAACTAAAATAGGAGTTTCTGTCTGTCTGTCCTTTGATTTTCTTGACACCTGTTCATCCTATCGACTTCACACTTGGCAGGTGAATTCTGAAAACCCAGTGAAATGCAGTGTTGAGATCCGAGGGACATATGTGTTAGCAGTGTGTTATGTACACACTGTGTAATGTATTTAGAGGGGGCCCATATTAACTGTTACACTATTGAACAGCATGCTGGGTACGTTTTCGTTCTCCATCGCTCCCTACAGTACGTTCAAAAACAGATAAAGAAAGAGGGGTATAACATTGTAGCAAACTCAAACATTTCAAGCGTCAGCGACTTAACTTTCTGACTGAATTTATTTGTCCCCAGGAAATAGCCTGGTCCCAGATAGCTAGCTGATAGCAAATAATGTGTATACTCTGGCACAGTGGTGGGTCACAGTCTAAAAGTGCATCACAAGTCCATTCTGAATTGTCCACAAGTGACTTGCAGATGTGTCAAGTTTATAAAAAAACACTTTATCTTTTGAAATACTGTTTCCTGCTGTAGATTGAGTGACTAACCGACAACTACTTGACAGAGACAGTAAATTAGCTCACAACTGAAAAAGTAGGCAATAAATATTGAAATAATTGACCACGCCACCCCTTTATCTCTGATACAGATGTAATGTGTGATTTGGACAACCATCATTTATCTTAGCGCGACATTTTTAAAAACATCTAAATCCTTTTTTGTGTGTGTCTTTGGAGGTTGTGTCCTGGAGCTGTCCTCCTCCTCCCTCTGTTGGACCTTCACCTGTCTCGGCTCTGTCAGGCTCTGGATTTGCTCCGTTCCTCACACTCTGCTGGCAGTGGTGGATCAAACTCCACCGCTGCCAGCTCCCTTCCAGCGGGCCGCGCTGCTCCTGCTGCTGCACAGGGAAGACTGGAGGAGGCTGGTTTGACTGGTTTCAGCGTGGAGGACACTGGCTTGGCTGCTCTGAGGCTCCTCTACCTGGTGCTGGCCCACAGTGACGAGGTGATGACACAACAGTGACAACTCACACATGATAACTACTGATAGTTGTGATGTGACAAAAGCTCTTTTCCGTCCAAATGTTAAACTCACACTTGTGAAATTCCTGGAAAAGTTATGAAAGTAGAAAAAGATTGTTCCATCTATCTATATCGGTTATTGGCCAAATAAGTTGTGATGTTTTGTGATGCTGTCAGGCAGTGGAGGCTGTGCTGTCAAAGGAGAGTCAGAGCAGAGCTACAGACAAAAAGGTACAAACAAAAAAAACACGCTCCCACTGTCAACGTTATCACCTGTCCCTCCTCACCTTCATCACAGTCAAGAAGGCTTATATCAAAATACGAACTTTATGATATGAACCTACGTTTTGTTTGTTTAATTTCCCCTCGAAAAAAAACATTTCACTGAAATCCTCCTCTCTCTGTCTCTCCCTCTGGTCTTAGACTGAGCGTTCTGTTGCAGGTGTGGGTCTGAGCTCCCAGAATGCCTTGCTGCAGTCATTGTTAAGGCTGTGTGAAGCAGGGCGAGGCAGTGGCTCACAGAATGAGGAGCTTGTCCTCAATGCCATGAAGACCCTGTGTGTCCTTATTGAGAGGACGCCACACACTCACACAGACAGGTACACACACTGCAGGCAACCATTAAGAACAACGAGCAGTCGGGAGGTCAAAGGTCAAAGTCGGTCGTATTGTTCTTCTGTATGATTATATGATGGAAACATAATAATCAATAGTTGATAATCTGATCATATGTGACAACAGACTTTTGCAAATAAAATAAGCACCTTGAAAATAAATGTATGAACATGAATTCAACTTTTGTTTGAGTACTTAAAAACCTTGAAACCTTGACCTTGAAAATGTATTTTTCAAAATGTATTTAAAACTATATTTAATGTTCAAGTATAGGTTGCAAGATATTTGTCAATTTCTCAATACTACGATTGTTTGTAAGAGTTTGTTTTCTAGGTGCAGGCAGCAGTGAAGGTGTCATGAAACTTCACCCACTCACACACCCTTTAGTTCAAATTCTTTTTAACAGTTCTCCAGTTACATAGAACAGTTTACGAGATCAAACGCATATGATGCAACTCTCATCTGGGGGGAATAGTACTGGAGGTAGAGGAGTGGCTGAGCTGGGAGTGATGCGGGTTTACGACTTTCCACTGACTGTCAGCAGTTACGTAAAACATGACTGTAAACTACGTGCAGTGATTTACAGGCACTGACACACAGAGTAAAAATATGATGAAATATTAAATCGTTAGTCAGAACAACAGTCCAGTAACCAAAAGAAGGAACTCCTGCGTGTTATAACTATATAACTAATGTGATTAATTTATTATTTCAGTGTTGACTAGTATTGTTTTAGTTTCACTGACAGTTTCTCTGTCTCTCCCTGTCAGGTTGCAGTGTGTGTTGCAGGTGCTGTGTGTGTGTTTGTCAGCAGACTGCAGGTTGCAGATGGTTTCTGGGAGTGTGTCTGTCCTCACGTCCATGTCTGACCACCAGACACTGGCTCAGCAGCTCTGCTCTCAGCATGGTGAGTCTCTGCCCACTGATACAGCACAGTTACTGCAGTGACTCCAACTCATCTGTAATTTAATGTCATTTATACATTAAGTAACTGCTCTTTGATGATTTTTTTTATCTAGTTTTTGCTTCAGATATTCACTCAGTTGTTTTAAGTTTCTGCTCCACATGATTTTGATTTTTTTTTTAAAAAGAAAAGCTTCACTAATTGTTTGTTGTTTTGTTTAGACCCGTGTGTTTTCCTGAAGTTGTTCCAGTTCATCAGAACCAGACCAGACAACCAAGCAGCACACAGAGACTGGATTCTCCTGGACCTGCAGGTAACACATACACACACCACGTTTTGGACTAACTTGCATTTGCCATCTGGTCTGGCGATGTCAGGCTAACATCCTACATGAGATGTAAATGAATAACAGCATGGATAGAATTTTCTTATGTTTCAAACAAAATGTTCTAAGCGGTCCGACCACATCTTAAGTGTTCCTACCTCATACTCTCCTCCAGGCTGCATCCCACTGCTGCCCTGATGTCTCTCCAACAGCTGTTTTTTTTGTGTGTGTGTGTGTGTGTGTGTGTGTGTCTTTGTAGTTTTACACCACGGGTTGTTAAAATGGGAATAATGCTACACACTTTGAGACAGTCGGTCTTCAAACACATTCTTGGTGTTGCAATCTGTTGTTACCATGAAGTTGTTGAGTAAAGAATGACAAAAAGAGATGTTCAGATGCTGACTTCTTTCTCACCTCCACATGCCTTCTCTGTGTTATGTGGTACAGAAAGTCAGATTGTCACGTTTGGAATGTTACAAAAAAAGATGCTGTTATTTTATGTGATGTCATGTTACGACAGAGCGAAAGAGAACAAGACAGGTTGGTTAACAGCTCAAACCTGTGATATTTTATCATCATACTGAAGTCCTCAAGGCACTGAAGCTGGACATCAACCAGTCAGTGTGGATTTAAGGCTGCACTAATCAATATTTTTATATTAGAAGTGTGTTTTTATGTTCAACTTCTTGTGTATTAAGTACATTAAACATTTTTAGAAAGAATCCTCCCTGTTTTCTGATCTTCTCTTGTTTTAAATAGCCGATGAAAACTCAACTCTTCCTTCATGTTTACGTGTTGTCTTGATGAATTACACTTTCAAGTGTTGAGTTTCACAACAATTAAAACAAATAAAGTAGAACTGACCGAAACTAATTCATTAATGAAAGCAGTATTTGTATTAAAGACGGGAAATTTGAAGGCATCAGAGTGGTGAGTTCAACATGACTAATTAATGTGCATAGAATTAATGTGGGAATGTACACTATACTGAATTTATTATTTGAATAAGAATAATACAAGTAATTTCACTCCTCAGTGTTTTTATAAAGGCTTGCCCTTCATTTGTTTGTTTCAGCTGCAGCTAATATTTGAGCTTAGCTTTTATTTGAGGATTTACAGTGCTTCTATTTTGGCTGTTTTTGTGTCTCAGGTGGTTTGTTTGCTGAGCAAACTGATGACTCAGAGGGCAGAGAGCTGGACCGCCAGCCAGCGCAGAAGCTGTCAATGTTACACTGAGGTAAAACTCTCTGACCCTCTTTTACATAATGACACTAACACTGTGTTGCAGTTTACTACAAGCGTCTGTCTTGCTCTCTCAGTTGGTTCAGACAGTGGTGATTGTTTTCCATCGTCAGTGGTTGGATCTTCGTGGTTCTCAGGATCCGACAGACTCAGCAGGTCAGTCGCATCTCAGCTTTAAAACACAAGCCTGCAAATATTCACAGCTCTGTCCCTTCTACTGTTCATGACACCTAACAATCTGTCTCTACACAATTATCATTTGCAACTCAGTTTGTTTTTTCTTGTTTTCCCCTCAGGCATGGCCCCACCCCCACAGAAATGCCCCACCCCCTCGTTGCCATGGTGGTGCGGCCCGGCAGCGTCTCTGCTCAGGGAGTGTCTGCTGCTGCTTCACTGGCTGCTGCTGCATCACGGCAGCTTCTCAGAGAGCTGCAGGCCGCTGCTGCACATGTATGACCAGGTGATCCCTGCTGTGCGAGACACGCTGAGGAAGATCCCCAGGCTGAGCGAGAGCGAGGGTACACACACACACGCACACAACTTTCAGACATTAAGACATGCTTTTCACTCATTTTCACTTTACTTTCTCCTAAAACATTACTCAAGCTAACAGAAACACCTGTAAGTGAACTGGGATAACTAAACACTTAAGTACTACTGACTGTGTCTAACACACACACTATCAATAGACTTAAAAACATACAAGCCTAGCAACACTAAGGCTACAAACGACCCGCAATGCAACGCTCTCTGTGGCAGCTTACACTGGTATGCTCTCTGTTTTAAAAAGAATATCTGCTATTGTAAAAATTTTCAAACAAATAAAATATGGTCCCCATATTTACAGGCAATTTCTAGAAATAAGTAGTGTCTCATATCTGGGGCCAATATGGTGTGTTTGTTTACAGCAGCTCATACAGATGGATTTTCAGGCTCAGAGAGGCAGCTGTTGCTCTACACTCTACCAATATTAATTTCAGTTAGATGCAGATTGTATTTGATAAAACATGCAGCTGGTGATTATCAAAAGTAACTTCACCCTGGTTTTTTTGGAAGCCTTTCCTCACACAACCTACACTGAATGTGACTGCTGAGACATTTGACTGCACTTTCCTCAACTTGCAACAAATGAAACTGTATTTAAAGAAATCAAAATAGATGTTTAAGGGTTTTTAATCTCATATGTCTTGTGCTGAATGTCACATATATGCCAGTATCTGGCCCAACGACAAACAAAATAATTTAGAGTTTTTCCTTTCCTGGAAAAAAGATAAAAAAAATGTTGATGACTCATCCTGGACTGGGAGGTGTATACTAATGTTGTGCCCAGTGAAATGTAATAATATAGACACAGGCCTAAAAGTGGAATGCGTCAGCTCCATCGTAGGGGTGAGCCTGCGCCTCTTTTTCACCAGCAGCACTGCTGGCTTCAGATCTCAGCTCAAACATGTATCATGGCTTCACTCCAACATGACTTTGTCGTGGTCATCTTTTTCCTCGATTTCATGCCTGTGCAGTTTGTTGGTAAAATCTGCAGCTGTACGCATTAGTGGCGGCAAGATGTTCTCGACCACAGAGAGCAGGCTGTCCTCATCGCTCTTCTTCGTGTCGAGTTAGTAGCCGCTGTCAATCTGAACTCTGGCAGGGATATGTAACACACGTTCAGCTCTGTTGGTTACAGTAAATGCCAATCAATATCCATGACAAGACCGTCCCTAGCTTTGTGTTTTTACAGGAAAGATGTAAATATGCAGAATCAAATAGTTCTCTAACAGTTTCATGGGAACTTCAATATGTATCAGTCATGTCATGGCTGAGCCCTGATCCACTTAATCAGGTCAGTATGGATGTTTTCTCTTTCAACCATGTGTGTTGCTGCTGTCTGTTATTACAGTTTAACTACATCAATGTCAAAATATTAATATTATGGTATGACATGTTTTTATTACATTAGGATTTGTACATGTCGTATCATTGACAACCTTATATGGCATCCTTAGTTTCAATTTCACATCTTACTGGGAGTGTTCAGGTGTCCACATACTTTTGGCCACTCAGAACTCAGAAGTTAACAGACCCATCTTTTTCCTGCTTCCTGTTTTCTGTCTCTCAGAGCTGGCGTTGGAGGAGATCTGCCGCTCAGAGGGCGACGACACTGATGACATGGACACTGATAATGGCTCCTGATTGGCTGCTGCCACAGCGACCAATGAGCCGACACAAGAGACAGTTTACTGACTGTTAATTGGACTTTTTTAGACTGAGACAAGGACAGAACCGTTCTGTGATGAAGTGGATGTTGGAGAGAAATGAAGTATCATTGAAAATTCAGAGGTCTGAAGTGACGGACAGTCACAGGATTTATTCTGCTGTCTGATGTGATTTAATAATAAAATGTGAAGGTGAGACAAACTGCTGCTGCTCTCTTGTTGTTTCTTCACCTCCTGTCTATACTCTTTGAGGGACTCTACTCAACTCTTAAACATTTGAATCACAACAAAAGAAATACAGGTTTTAACACAAGTAATAAAATGTTTCCTTAGTTAAAACCAAACAAAAACCAGTTCAGGATCAGAACAGTTTGTGAAACATCTTTATTTATTCTCCAGCTCTAAGTGAGGTCTGAGTGACACATTCAGAAGAAGGCATCCTATTGGCTGGCTGCGGGTCGTGATCAGTCAAAGGGAGCACAAGACTTGAGTGATGGGAGTAATTTTAGTCCAGTTATCTCAAGATTACAACTTCATTATTCACTCATTATGATTCAGATTTAATTATTCTGTTACATAAGAAATAGTTTTCTCATGATCACAACTTAAACTCTGCTGTCATTTTGGGACGATGGTTGATCCGGAGCCACTTATGTCACGCAGTCAGTGCTTTACAATATGAGGTGTCCCAGAATAAACTAGCTTGCATGTAATAATTATTATTGCAGTGTGAACATGTTCAACATCCAGTATTACATGTCATGTCTCAAGAAAACGACTCATTACATAACTAATAATATGAGCAAATCGTTTTTTCTGCATAACCGTTTGTATGGACCCAACAAAAACAAAATTCCAAAGAAAATTACTGAATCAAGTTATGATCATGAGATAAGAGGCCTGAAAATATTTTAAGCAATCGTGACAGCTCTCAGCTTCTATTAAACTGGGATCATCAGAGAAGAATGAGACACTTTGATGTTTTGACGTCACGCTAAAGCTGAATTTAAAGTTGTGTACTTTCTGTTTTTCAGAAACGTGTCTTGTGACTCTTTAACACTCACCGATCCTTCTCTTATTAATGCTAGGGAGCAACCAGGAAGTGTAAACACTGACAGAAAGAAGCTGTGTGCCATTTTAGGCTCCGCCTGCGTCAAAGTCTATTTTGAAACCAGTCATGTGTTTAGGCAGTCTTTGTCAATGTCTTAAATCAGAGATGATGATGTCACCAGGTGTTGAGAGGGGACCTGAACACACTATTTGATCTGGTTTGTGTCAGGTACTGCACTGGGGGAGCTGGTGACTCTGATAGGAATCTGGCGGAGCTTGAATTGAGACGCAGCGACAGGAAGGCACCTGAGGGTCGGGTCAAGTAATCCAGGATCAGACTGTCTCTGTAGTGTGTGTGTGTATGTGTGTGTGTGCTCTTGTCATGCTATCTTTGCGAGGACCTTTTGGAGTTTCGGATTGCTTGTGAGGACTTTTTGGCTGAAGGCTGCTTGAGGGTGCAGACTTGGTTTTAGGGTAAAAGAGTCAGGTTGAGGTGTAAGTTTGGGGTTCGTAAGTTAGGGTTAGAGGATGCATATTGTGGGTCCTCACAAGTATAGAAGGGCAGACGTGCTGTGTTGGGCCTCGTTTCCACTGCATGGTTCGTCTCGACTCAACTTAAGGTCCTTTTCTCTATTTCATTTTCCACTGTGGATTGTACCTCTTCAATGTAGGCGGATTCTTGGCCGATCACAATAGTGACAACACTGGAAACTGCCATGGCATCATCTTCAGTCCGGGACTAAAGAAACTGCGGTTGTTATGTTATGTTATGAGAATATCCACAGGCTTGTTATTGGTGGTATCTTGGCTATTAAAAATGGCGGGGTTTTGCAGGATGGCCTGTGACCAGACCAGTCAGTGGTCTGCAGGGTTTTATCTCCACCTGCCAACACAAGGATCAGGTTCTATGCACAACTTTTGCCGATGGAAGACAAATAGAGTTGATCCGTGCTGTACCATGCACTGGAAATATGGCATTATTGTTTTTCAGTCCACGTCGGCACCACCTGATCATCGTCCTCTTGTTTATTCTGTAGTGTTTTTTGTGAACTGTGTGTGTGTGTCTTTTGTGTGTTGTGATGTGGCGTGCAGGGATTGGTCAGCCACGGGTGCATCAGCAGCTCTGACGCCGTCAGTCTCTCTGTGGGCAACTTCCTCAGCATGCAGCCAATCAGACACTTGGCCTGCGGCGACAGCCACTCGGGCAGGCTGAAGGCCCCGCGGCGTATCTTGGTGAAAAGCACAGCAGGCTGTGTGTCCTGAAATGGGTATCGTCCAATCAGCATTGTGTACAGAGACACGCCCAGACTCCAGATGTCTGCAGCGCGACCCGAGTAAGATCTGTTCCCTTTGGTCAGCAGCTCGGGGCTGACGTAGGCGGGGCAGCCATGTCTGTCTGTCAGAGAGTCATCTTCATGGTTACCATGCAGGAGGACGCAGTCGTCCAGGCCGAGCAGAGCGAGATGAGTCCTGCAGAAAGAAAACCACACTTTTAATCTATGTGCTGCATCAGCAGTGACAGCTGTAGCATCTGTAGTACTGGTGATGGATGCAGTAGTATTCAGCACTTTTATTAAGTATTTATTTGCAGTATCAGTGGTAGTATTAGTAGCATCAGTATTGGTATCATCAGTACCTCTCTGTCAGTTCACCTACATTTGTCTGTATAATAGTATTTTCAGAGTACTCGACAGTCTCACCTGTATTGGTCGATGAAGACAAATCTGCGCAGCTTCAGATCTCTCAGGACGACTCCATGGAGATGACAGTGCGTCACGGCGTTCAGCATCTGAGCGAAAAGATCCCTCGCCTCGTCTTCTCCTAGGCGCTTCCTGCTTCTCACGTATGCGTGCATGTCGCCGTGGTGACCTGGCAGGAAAACGTAAACACTGTCCTGGCCAATCACCACATCCAACAGGCCACAGATGTTGTCATGGTGACCGACGCGGGAGTAGGCAGCCAAGCGTTCTTGATAACCACGCAGAGGAAGAACCTGCAACCATGGCAACCAGGAGGGAGGGTTAAGGTAACTATAAAACATTTGCTACAGTTACAGTACCAGTTGTATTTTTGCAGTGTCAGTAACATAGGTGACTACCTGGCAGGTGTATTGCTGCTTTGTCTGTGCGTGCACAGCCCTGTAAGTCTTCTCCCCCTCACAGGGTTCAAACAGGAAGTACGATCCGACTTTGGTTGGAGACTGGCTCTGGTTGGCTTCGGGGGCGGGGCTTTTGGGCCTGAGGCAGTGTGATAGGCCGGTGGCAGGAGGGTGCGGATCCAGACGGGCTACTTTACATTTCAGTAAATTGTCCTGCGGCTCGTCCAGTAATCTCTTCAGACACAGCTGAGATCTGGCGGCTGTCATGCCCATGCTCATCTGTGATTGGAGGAGAAAGGTGACATCATAAGGTTAGTAATTAATATAAAAATTGTGCTTATAGCTGCTTCGAATCTGCAGATTTCAGTTTGCCTATGTGGTATATCTGAGGTGTACTGCAGCTGAGATCTTGTATAATTGATTATTTTACTGTGTGTCAAATATAGAAAGCATCCTAACCACATGTCCTGTGTGCAGATTGATTATTGTGAACAGTTAAGTATTTTAATTTCAATAATCTGTGGTTATAGTTGGCTTTATTTCCAGAACTTTACTACCAGGAACTTCAGGCTGTTGAGTTGTTTGAGACTGGCTGGTTTCTGCACAGTAGCGCCCTCTGCTGGTCTCATCACAGCTGAGCCACTAAAACCCCTCCTCAGTTATATTTCCACATACAGTAAGAAGAATTATATTCGCATCACATCTCGCTGTGTTCTGTGTCTCTGCTGCTCACACGTTACACTGTTAACGTGTCTATAGGCTTCATGATGCAACTTCCTGTAAGCTGACAGACGCTTCAGCTTTCAGATCGTTGCATCAGAGCACAAGTTTGTAGTTTAAACAGCCTTTAAATACAGTCAACACCTACCACACACACACACACACTCACTGTGAGAGTGTGTGCCTATGTTTTTGTCATATAAAGTTTTTTAGAGCCTGTGGTTGCCGTGGTAACGCTGTGTGGCAATATGCTGTTGGCCAACTCTGCTTTCACTCTGGTGAAACACTCTGAGTCACCGCGGAAACGTCACCCCCTGACACACACACACACACACTCAGTGACTCCGTGCTGTTTGATGTCTCATCTCGTCAGCTGCTGTTTCACAATCACAGATCAATGTTAAAAATAACGACGGGAAAAATTCCACCAGATTCTCCTGAACTCTCATGAACTCTCTCATTGAGGATTTCTTTCATCTGACTTTCTGAAAATAACAAAGCATGATCCTGAGGTTCAAACCTTTGTGCTTTACACGAGGTAAACAACAATTCAGCTCCTGTGGTGCTTGAGTTATCCATATTATTAACCAATGCTCATTTCTCATTTTCCTTTTGTGTTCAGCCTTAAACTCAGCTGTCTGCTTTCTTAAAACATAAACACCGTTGACTCCTCTCTGTCCTGGTGTTATTACAGACACATCTGATGTAGCCACAACCTCGTGGACTCGTCTGTTTTGTCAAGATGTGACGTAAAGCTCGCAGAAGTCTAGGGCTTACTGGAAATCGTGTTCACTAAAGGTAGCTAAAAACTGAAACTGAATAAAAAGAAATCAGCATCCTTATCTAGATTTACGTCAGTGGGATTTTAATGAGGTTTTGTTACTTCTACAATAGGACCTTCCTCTTTCACTTTGGCTCTTTATTTGAAAGTACTTAACACTACTTGTTTCTGTTTATTCTGACTAAGAAAGAGGTCTTTAACCCGGCATTACTGACAAGTTTGACTCTTGTCTTCACATGAACATTGGGCTGTGTTGGGAAACTTTGTCACCTGGTGTGAGCCGAACCATCTACAGCTCAACGTGACGGAGACAAAGGGAAAAAACTTGTGGATCTGATGAAGGTAAAGGCATCGTGGACATTGTGGAGTACTTCAAGTACCTGTGATTGTACACTGGGAACAAACTGAGCTGGGCAAAATACGCTTATGCCTTTTACAGGAAGAGCCAGAGCTGTTTCTACTCTCTGAGGAGGCTGAGGTCTTTCAACAATGCTGAGGATGTTTTATGAGTCCGTGGTGGCCGGTGCTATCCTGTTTGCTGTGGTGTGCTGGC